TAATGATGGGGATGACGTCCGCGCAGTTTCTGCGCGTTAAAGTATTTATTTTAATTTTTGCATTATAATTTTACCACGAGTGTGATTATTCAGACATGCCTAACAATAACAATTATTTTAATGCTATCAACCTTAAGCTAATAATTAAAAACCTTCAGATATGTGGGTAATTAAAATTTGAAAAAAAAACATTTCATCTGTTATCCCATAAAGATTTTAATTACATACCTGGTTGTTACTGGGTGTAACCAACCACCTGCTTTAATGTCTGTTCTTATGTAGAACTTCAATTAAATTTGTTCCACGAGGTACAGCTGTGTCACTGCCAGAATTTCGGACTGGGAAACATTGAAAAAATCTGGGTACATTCAATTGATATGCGAATTATAGTCTAATGTGATGCATCTGACTTAGCCGGATATGGGAACAAATATGTAGTTAGATGCACACAATATAATCACGTGTTTTGTATTTCAGGCTTAAACTCTAGTCGTGACTTGGCGAACAAATTATGATAACAATATTCCTCAAGAAGGTGTAAAGGGACAACATTGCTTACAGCCATGAAAATATCAAATTGCTTTAGTTTCTTTTAAAAAAAAAGTATGTAGTAAAATCATAGATTTCGAATTAAATTAAATTAAATTCAATCAACTTTTTCTTGAAAACTACGGGGATATTTTGTGTTGTTCCATGAAAGTCTCTCTATTCGATAAAATGCTTCTAAATGGTTTTGCCCTTGTTTATTCTCGGATAGTAAGAGTGGGAATGCTCCACTGTATTTTCCCGCTTGTTTTATACAGAATATTGGAGTATTTGTGGTTCCCACTAAGCTGGATTTACCACTTTCATGAGAATATCTGAGCAACTTCTAAACATAGTTCAACATTGTACGTACATATGTACAAAGAAGAGAAAAGAAATTAATTCAATCATTGAATTGTTGTTCAACACATTGTTTAACACATTTATGATGCTTTGAATATAATTTCTCAGAGTGGATCACTATCCTGATAACATTTTCTGAGATTATTTCCACATTTGCAGAGATTATTCTAAGAACTCTTTCCGCATTACAACCACATGCACCTTACCTGATTCATAATTACAAATAGTAACAGTTAAAGTTAGTTCTGACCGTTCGATCTGACATGCAACATGAGACTAATGTAATACAAACAGTGTTTGCGAAAAAGCTTTTATCAAAATGAATGATGTAGAATCAACTATATTTAATTACAGGCTACTCTTGAGTCTCGCTAGCATTAAAGGCAGCCTTGCGGTTCCGCCAAGCCCGCCTAATAAGCTCCAGACAAGTATCAGTCAAGTACGACAAAAAATATATAATTAGGAATAAAAAAAACGTCTTTTAACTAGCCTTTAAAGATGATAGATCTAGTTATAGCTATAATTCACTTATTAATCAATCTTAAATTCAGCTACTCTAGCTGATGTGTATGGATGTGTATACTATGAATCGATGCGAACGAATTTAATACATTTACAGCAGCAGTTATTGCAACGATCGGGGACATTATTAATAACTGCTCAGATACTAATTCATATTGAGGGAACCTTGTTAGGTAGTTAAACTAGATGAAACTTCCGTTTTAAAAGCGTATTATTGAAATATTCAAGTTCAAAATTCCGGAATATAGCACTTCCCCTTTACAATTACAATATTTGTGGGAAATATATATGAAAACGACTTTCAATGATTTATAACGATATGTCAATTAGGTGTCAGGTGGGGATTACCATGTGTACATATTTCAAACTACTTCTACTCTAATGCTTAGCAATGTTCGGCATAAGCCATTAACATTATATCATGATCCATTAGCCAAATTCTCGAATGGAATTTGTTCATTGAAATATTAAACTTAACCCTCGCACAGTGTACTTTCCGATGACATGATGAGTCCAAGCACTTAATGGGTGCTTACCCTTTCAACCGGCTTGAATGCGATTTAATCATTAGCCAAAGGAAAATGAGATAAAGGTTCATGCCGCTTTATGCTCTGAAGACTGAGGTGTGAACGAGACGTGATCGTAAAACTCGTCTGGTTTGAACTTGATCTAGCTCAATACAATTTTTGTTTTATCTGTAGACATACAGGAAAGCTATTTGAATTAATTAGCCAACTAAAATTACTGGTCCGAGTCGCATTCAATTGTGATTCATTCAATTTAATTGATGGTGTGGAAAACGCCATTGAGACTAAAAAGTCTTTTAAACACAAGTTCATTCATGCCGGTAAAATTAAATCCGCTGGACAAGCTTAAGCGAATGACAGATAATTTGCTAACCATTTACTTGTATATGATCTAATTACATTCTTACACAGTAAGAACCAAATCAACCCGTTTACTCGCTTCGCTCACACAACCCTTCACGCACTGCGCCTTATAAACAAATCATAATTTAGCATTGATACTGAAATGGATGGTAAAATATGAATTGCTTAAGCAACAAAAAAATGGATTCCATTGGTACTGACATCCGTGTTATGTTATCAAAAGTAGTTAATACTACTGCGGTGAAATTTCGCCCGACATCTTCTTCTTGTTCTCTAACTCACATAAATAAATGACCGGGCGACAACCCCAAGCTATTTTATATAATACAGAGATAAAGGTAATCTCTGATTATGGATAGAAACGGATAGAATCTATCGGTATTATTAGTTCCACACTATGTATAAATAAAGTGGACTCATCGTTCGTTCGTTAGTCTCCCTGTCAATATGATTCTGTCTGTCAATACCTGAATTTCACGTGATCATTCGATCCAGAGCATTTGCATTTTGAATGTCCAGATCGAGTTTTTTACTATACCTTGATCTGCCAAGAACATAAATTTAATTTGAAAAGAACATATTATTTTAAAAAAGCTTTCAAATTCGTATACATTTCTTTTGTTTAAAAACAAAAACAAACAACATTTTAATACAGAATTTAGAAGAGATTGAATTACTACATTCATCGTTAACTGATATATGTATATTATGATTATATCTAAGCAGATACAATACTTGTATCTATCATTTCTATCATTGAATGAACATCATATTAAGAAAAATAATTAAATGTCACAAGAATACAATTTTTTTTTGACCTATGTATAAGTACATACATAAATAAAATATATTTACAGTATACATATTTTCCAAAGATACTAGCGATATTTCCAGTATTTTAGAAGTTGAGAGGCAATCTAGAATCTAGATTCTAAATAAATATACATGTATACTTATTTTTGCAAGATATTTAAAGATATTCAAAGATATTTAAAGATATTTTATTCATTTGCTATGCATTATTTTAGTCTGAATGGTTTGGTTAAAAAAATCATCAGATGAGCTTTCAGTATCAAACAGCTTCTGACAATGAGCGTCTGTAATTTTACATCTAAGTACATCATGAAGTAGAAGTAGTGTAGAATGTAGAAAGCCCGTACAATTTTAATTTTTCGACCGTGGTCGTCAGTGTCGCCAGTGAGAAATGTAGTTGGGCTGTAGATATGTAGGTTTAAGATAATGCTTCTCATACTCGAAGAGTTAGGGGGTATATTACATTTGTGGTAAAAGTGTCTTTTTGTCGCCTAGTTCTCAGAGACTATAAGAGCTAGAGCAACCAAATTTTGTTTTCAGACTCATGTGATATCACAGCTTTTAAAAGTGTATATAAAAACTTTACCACGCCCGTTTTTGCTTTCAAAATGAACGAAAATCTGTGTCATCCACAATTTTGAAGATTCGAGAAACAAAAGACGGAGTATCGTAGAGAATGACTATATCTAATATATTGCGGAATTTTTACGCAAACTGGAACAGGAACATACATGGCCGATTGACTTGGTCACGTCCAGCGGTGCGGTCCTTCAGATGCTGTAGGTGCGAGAGCAACTGGAACGCGACCGGCTGAATAATTTGGCGAACAGATGGACGATGGCAAGAAAACTTGAGGGCAGTCCGCACGGACCCGCTGTCCTGGAGCCGCTCTAAGCACACACCCGCAAAAGCACACACACAGAACCTAAACCGGGCTAACACTTAGATATTAATGAACGTTTAATCCTTACTTATCCGTAATAATTTAATCGTAAAACAGTGTACAAAGTGAAACCACAACATAAGAGACCACAAAAATAATAATAAAAAAGACTGCCAAAAAACATAATAAAAAAAATTTTTTTCCGCAGTACACCATCAACGGATGACAGATCCATGGGATAGGTATAGGTATTGTCTAATCCTTAATAGTACTGGCATAATTATTTAGCTTTGAAATCGAGCTTTAACTGGTCTTAAAGCTTACCGATTTGGATGCGAATTGCTTTTCTATGCTTTGCTCAACTTCACAAACGTATGACTCCAAAAAATCAAGTAATCAACTTCATTGTTGTTTATTTTCGATTTAGAACAAGAAAACTTTCCAATGCCGTTCATTTCTTAAGATCAATTTTTTTAATTAAACTAAAATAGCTTCCCCCAAGATAACGATCATGATCTTTTCTTCTTTTGATGGTCGTATTCGTATAGCTATTTTCGTTTTTTAAATAATTATTGTAAAATTTGACTGTTATTTTTGAGGAATTACTTTTTATGTGAGAGAGAGAGAGCTAAATCTTTTTGCTAAATCAAAATACAATGCAACATGCTGTTTGGACTTTCTTTTGATAATATTCTGCGAGGAGCTTCTTAGATCTGCTGCCTTCCACACTCCCCAAATCTTGTAAGTAATCTAAGCACATTACCAGCATAGCCTGCACATCCACGCAAAAACGTAAATTTCCACAGAGCTTTTTAACCTGATTTTACTTGGCCAATTTGCCCATAGCAAATTTCATTCAGAAAGATCAGTGGTTTTGGGACAGGATGATGCAGCATGATGCATATTTGTCTTGCACTCAGATTTTCATATGGAATCACAGAAATGCGTTGCAGCCAAATTATGAAATTATGAGATTGGAATTAAAGCACTGCAATACAAAATGTTCATAAGGTACAAATGTAGATGTAAATACCTATCGCCACATGCTTTGTGCCACAATTACCGCCCGACCGATCGTTGTCCCGGTCGTAGGTCGTAAATTGCTGGTTCGTGCATTTATACATCGAATCCCCCGCATACCCAGTGTAGGCGCCCAACTTTGACATTCGATATAAATCATTTTCACTTTCGATGTAGAACTCATCATATCTGGCGAATCGCGTGTTTCCCTTAAAGCCCTCCAGATGTACATATAGCTCTTGGGTCTGTGATTTCGTTATGGCGTCCAATCCTATGGAAAAGTCGCCCCTGAGATCTCCGAATCCGCTCTTGTACTCCATCCAGTTGCGCAAGAAATTTAGCTCTCCATTAGTTCGACGGGCGATCACAGTCCAGCCAGGATCCGCAATATTCTCATCGCAGGAAACTTTAAAAGGATCAATGCTCGGTAGGATTACAGTATATATACCATGCGACCTCGGACCAAGGGGACATTGGCTATTTGGATTCTGAATCGCCAATACTTCAATGTCACCCCTGCCATTTTCGATTACAGAACGCTGAAAGAATGTTTTTCTTTGCCATTTACGAATTAAAACTTTACTCCAAACGTTACCACTTCTGCTGCTAATCCTGTGCTTTTGCAGAGGAAAAACAAAAGGAAACAGTAGATCCACATTGACTGCATTATTACACGCTGAAATAATGACTGAAGAGTGCTATTAATTTCGTCTTTTTATCAAGTTCTTATCAAGTTGAATTCTAATTATTTGGATGATTGTAGGGTCAACATTGAAAGTCAATGGTGTGATATCGATTTCCAAGAATATTGCAATCACATGTTTAATCACTTTCATCTTATGTGATTCTTTGTCTGTCTGCCACTACAAATTTCCGCAAAAACACATTCTTGAGAAAAGTTATTCCACAAAATGTTTCTAACATAATCAACTATTTTAAACAAATACGAGAAAAATGGTTCAATCCAGGCTAACGGTATATTTTTATACCCCTGCTTAAAGAGTTAAGGGGTTTCCCCATAAAGTATATATATTCTTGATCAGCAACAATAGCCGAGTTTATGTCTCACTGTCCGTCTGTCCGTCCGTCTTATTTGTCGCCTAGTTCTCAGAGACTAAAAGAACTAGAGCAACAAAAATGTTGTCTCCAGACTTATGTAATATGTGATGTACAAGTGTAATTTAAAATTTCGCACCACCCCCTTCGCCATCACAAAGAATGAAAATCTGTGGCATTTACAATTTTGAAGATAAATATAGAAGATAATATAAATAATATTTTAAAAGTACATATATCATAATCTCACATATTTCTATACTGACTGAGTACGGGTATAAAAGTAGAGTCGCGGCACAGCAGCGACTCACAACGTTCCTTTTTGTTTTTGTATTATTTAATGGGAGTTCTTCCTCACTCCATGAAAACCATCGATGTTGGTTTTCCTCCCATATATCAAGCAGGATATCTTTATGACCACAGGGGTCCACAAAAATCTCTTAATCAATGATAAAAAAATTAGTTTAAAGTATTTTTTTTTTACATATATTACCCGGCAAGTTGTATTTTTAGAACATAATTTTGTATGTCATTCGTGGTGCTGATATGCAGAAAGTGTGCGAAAATGTGTTGTAATCGCACAGTTAATCTAATAATACGAATAGATGCATCTGCGTTCAAAAAGAAATCAACTTTTTGACACCACTAGGTGATTATTCTAGTAAATGCTTATCCTACGTACAAAAATGTTTCAGATCTTATTTTCAGATATTTTATTTTCTGCGTTTATTGTTTTTCATTTCCAATTATATTGCTCCGCACAATTACAAAAATATCTCCGAATATACAGTCAGACTCGAGTCCGGCAAAGCGGATCAATCGAAGTGAAGTGGTTCTCATAATTGGAATTTCGCAAATCAAAATATCGACTACAGTGTAGAGGATGAATTATTGAGGGAAGGTGGTCCGGCCACCCCTCGCTCGCTAAGTCATTATCGGATTCTATGGAAACATTTCGCTATTTGTCGCCCATTTCTGAGGGATGTGTCTGACTTAGTTTGTCTTTTGCTTCTTTCTCTCTCTCTCGCTCTCACTCTGTGATTTTTTCAATCAAAATTTCAAAGCCAACTTAAGCTGAGAAGGATTTGGAGGATGTGTTTGCCAATGGCAGTGCTGTGGTCCCTGAGTTCTTGGGTCCTTGGGTCCCTGGGTGGAATTTGGTATCCATGAATTTGGTATCCAAGAATCGCGAACCGTCCTCGTTCCGTTCTCTTCTGGGATATTTGTGTGTGCTTTGTCTTATTTTCATTTCGTTTTGCTGGTTTTTATTTGTTGTCTGTTATCTATTTGTGTTTACTTTCCTTTTGCCATAAGGCGACAATCGTTCCCATCATCATCATCATCATCTTGGGTTCTGGCATCCATCCCCATCATCAGGGCAGGACTGGCAGTCCCTCGTTTGCGTTCACTGCGTGGTAATCCAAGGATGATGATATTCCCTAAACTAAACTAAATCAAAACCGAAATCGAATCGAATTTATTGTCATCTTCGTTTTGCGCCTCAGATTATGCCACAGATTCCGTCCGGGTTTCAATTTCGGTGTGAACTTTCGCTTTTGGGTTCACGGCATCCCGGAGTTGTATTTCCGTTGGGGCTGGTAGAGTGGTAGTTGTGGTAGAGGGAGGTTTGGATGGTTATGCCTCGCCCGAAGCTACAGGTTATGATGATTGCTCTGTGTTCTGTCGTCTCTGTCTTGGCATTTTGTTTTGTTTTTGCTTCGCCCCCGCAATTTTTGCTGATTGTTGTGTTTTGGAGCAGCTGCAATCAAAAATACATCACTGATGTGATGATGCTTTGTCCTTGAACCCCCCGCAATACCCATTATCCCCGCGCTAACAGTGTCCCCATTGTATGTTACTGATGCTGTGGCTTACCCCAAAAGACTTCACTTTCGTTTCGCAGTTCGGTTGCATGTTGCATGCAACGTCTGGCCTGAAACCATCCAGAGAATTTAATCTCTTACTAATTGTTTGCCAATTTAAGTAAGGAAAGCGCTGATATACGGAGGCGTTCATGCAGTTGGCAGCGCTCTCTGCTCCGTCTTACTGCCATGAGAGCGCCTCTTCTTGCGGCCTTGACAGCGCGACAAACCATGTGCGTGAGGATGAGATGCCACAGCCACCTAGCTGGTTGGTCGGCCTCTGCCGCTGGGTTTGTCGTTAGCGTTGGATCAGACAATTGCTGCAGCTGACAGCGGTGGTGTGCGGCTTTTCTCTGTCTCACTCTGACACCTTCTCCCTGTGTCTATATCCACCCTTTGCCCCCTGCTGTGCGTGTGTGCATTGCATTGATTTTGATGGGCTCTCACATAATGAAGATACATTTTTGTGTTTGTTGCGTTTTCTGATTGCGGCTTACGATGCGTCTGATGCAATCATATTGTTGCATGCCTGATTGTGGTTAGCCGCAGGTTGCAGCGGCTGGCTGTGTGTCTTGTAAAGAATTGCTCAGAGCGGGTTGCAGTATGAAACATTGTAAATAGATAAAGACTACTATAAATGTACATATGTATGGATGAGTGGTACATACTTGCAACACTGAATAATAATCCTGGTACCTAAATCGACACCAAACCTGATAATTACATTTATATTCAATATTCCCCGATATAATTTAGTCGGAAAAGGTTTACACTAAGGTTAAAGTAAATGTGCACTGCAATATATACCTTGAAAATATCAAAGTTAACCTTAACATATTTTCTAGTGAAGCAAATTAGAACATAAACAGAAATTGAACTGGCCAATGGCAGGTGACGATGCTTCTGCACTTCTGAATTATAAAATCCCAAAGGGGTATACAAAGTTGTAGAATTAGGGGGTAATCTAGTGCCTTTCTTGGCCTAGTGGTGGTGTTGAAGAGCACCTGGATCATCAGGAATATGCATTTTCATATTTTTTTTCGATTTTCTGTTTTCTGTTTTCAACAAATTAAGTTGGAAATTGTGTTTCCATATCGCAATCTAGTTTCTTTTCGCCTCCGCAATGGTGCCATGTCTGCCGCCACATATGTATGTACATTTGTACGAGTATTTGGCTCGATTTGTGACAAAAACGAGAGATGTGCAATACAAAATAATAGGAGAACAAAGAAGGGCAAATTTGTTTTTGATAGAAAGTCATGTCAAAAACAATGTCCAAACTATTGTGTGTCATCCTTTTTTGTTCCCGGGCCTGGGTGCTTGGGAGCGAAGGCCACTTGAAAATTGCGCCACAGACCCGTTGAGTTTGAGTTGACCCTCATCAAAAGCTAACTAAAAACTTTTCTTTTTCCTTTAGTTTTTTTTTTCCAATCCTCCCTCGTGCGCTATCTCTTTCTCTTCCCATCAGCCCCTCTCTTTCTGTCCCACACTCTGTGTGTGTATGATTTTGTTGTTTTTGTCTTTTGGCCAAAGTGGAAAATAAATGGTTCCACAGGATGACCATTTGCGTGATGTGCATGTACGGGTATATATGTATGTATGTGTGTATGTACATATGTGTTTGGGAGCCTCTTCTTCCGTGTCCGTATCCGGTCAAAAAGTTGAAAGCCGAACGTCACTTTTTGCACAATCCGAATTCAAAACAAGAACAACAGATACAGCAACAGCATCTGTGGCCAAAACAAAAGTCAAACGAAAAGTCCAAACAAAAAATCCAATAGAAATTTAAACAGTTTGACGCATTAAATACTCATTGGCCAACTTGCCGACTCGGACTTAGCCACTGAAGGTGGGTGGAGTGATGTTGAGGTGTGGTGTGGTGTGGTTCTCTTTGGATTCATTTAACCCACTAAAGATTACGGAGAATGTTGACATAACATGTGGAGGTTGTACAGGTGATTTGGATTCATAAAATATAAATTATAGTACTTTTATGGGTACCACATATGTAATATGTAGTATTAGAAGGAACTCTATTAATAAAAATAAATTATTCAATACGATAAAATGCTCCAATACATATTCATCTGAGTGCTTAAGTTAGATTCGAATTTTAACTACTTTTGGCCATATTTGTGCACCTCTATATAGGATCAGCAGAAGATCGATATCGGATCAGATAATTTCTTTGAAATGCACCTCATAGGCAAAGTAGAGGATCTTTTGAGATTCCCAATGAATATCTTAGAAACTCCACTCTTAGTTATGGGAATTTCAAAGAGTCCTCCTACTGAAGCAGCACCCGTAATATCCAACACACCTTGCGGCAAGGGGTAAGCCAACACATGGCTTTGAACTAACTAATACCCACAAATCTGCTAAATGTCTGGGCAGGGAACTCTGATGCGCCACTCAAATCTCTCAAATCCATATTTAATTATGGAATAACAGGCCTTTGTCCAGTACTTCAGTTCAACCTTTGCCCGACTGACTGCTTAAACTTAATTAAGATTCCATGCTTAACGCGATCATAGTCATCGTCATTGTGATTATCGTTGTAATTTTGGCCTCGTTTGGGATGGGGTTGGGAAGGCAGTGTCAGAAGTGGCACTTCATCAGTCAGTATCGACGCAGAAGCACCGCCGGCAGCTGTCCGCGCCTCCTGTTGCCACCTGTCCGGCCCTGTCCTGGTTGGGCCTCTCCTGCCAGTGGAGGTCCTGGCCCATTCGCCTATGTTTGTGGGTCTCCTTGTATAGGTGTGTGTTTTGGGGCTGCTCCCTTTTGTTTGCACTCTCGACCGGCGTAGGCCCCAAAGGCGTTTCACTGATTTCGTTGCACGTGCGGCGCTAGGTCTGCCGTCTGCCGTGTGGTTTTTGGTGGATTTACTCGAGGGCATCTGCTCGGCTTAGCGCTAAAATGTGTGTCTACCCATACACCCATTCATATGTCATATGTGTGAGTCAGTGAGTGAGTGTTTGCTCCATCTCAGTGTGCTGCTGATGGAATTTTAATTAAATACTCGGGTGTCTATGTTAATTTATATGCGCATATGCTTAGCCAGCCAAACAACCAGCTAGGCTGGCAGACATCCAGTTGGGTCGGCTACCGTGTCTGCTCCTCACTTTGGGCAATTCCATTCTCCATTCTCCGCATTGATATGATGAGGATGACTGTGAGGATGAGGATGCGGATGGGCATGGGCATGGCGGACTCACCTTTGAAGTGGCTGCGCATGTTTGTGATTAAGAGCTTTTTGGGATCTCTCGCGCGGCCTTCCCCCAGTCCCCCAGCCCTTATCCTTGGCTCCGTTTCATTGTTTAAAATTTAATTATAATTTAATGCTTAGTAAGCACTATTTCTCGCATGAAGTTGTCTGAATCCCCATCCGAGTCCCCTGCTCCTGCTGCTGCGGTTTGCCTTTGGGTTCGTTTCCATGTCGTTTTTTGCCAAAGCTACTTGATATTATCACGTCTGTCTGTCTCCGTCCGTCCGTCCGTCTGTCTCTGGCTTTGTCTATCGTCCTGGCCCTGCGTTTGAGACGTCTCAGCCTCCTGTCTGCATTTTGGTCGCCACCTGGTCCTAGTTCGAGATGGCACTTGATATGGAAATAATTTGTTGTGCGGCTCTCGGGTTGGGATTTCTGGGAATCTTTGTCTCAGCACGGGCTCAGCTTATTGTGGTTACTACGACTATTTGTGAGGGAGAAAAACACACATTGGAATATATCTTCATGTTAAGAATTTATTTCAAAAATATATTGTACTCCCAGCTGTTCCTTAATTAATCTCAAGTTCAGTTCCTTCCATTGCTATCTACAATTATTTGCCCCCAGTCTCAACAAGCAAAGCTCTGCCTGGCTTCTGGAGGCCAGTGCTACGTGTTGGTATCCATGCCCGCCTTCATCCTCGCCAGATTGGCCCGACTGGTGGCATGTCCTGGCTGCAATTGCAGGGCCCTGCGATAGCTACTGACAGCCTCCTGCCTTAAGCCCCGCATTTGCAGAATGGCACCCAGATTGGCGTGGGCGTGGGCCGCCAGCGGCTGGAGGGTGACCGCTTTGCGATACCACAGCTCCGCCTCGATCAAGCGGTTCAGCAGACGCAGAGCATCTGCTACGGCGGAGTGCAGGGCGTAGTCTTTAGGCGCCAAAGCGGCAGCTCTCAGACGGAGGCTGAGTGCCTCCTGGCAACGATCTTGTTGCTCCAGGAAATCAGCTGAAATGAAATCGCAGGTTATGATAACTCAGTACTCCCTGTCTCGACTCGCCTGCTCACCATAGTAATGATGGGAGCTGGGCTCCAAGGGTGCTGTCTGGAGTGCGCGTTTGAACCAGAGCTCCGCCTCTGCATGGCGACTGCTCTTTAAGATTGGGGAGAAGGTCAGTCAAGGAACTATTAAGAGTGGGCTTAGCTATACTTACATTCCTGGCCAGCGTCTGGCCAAAGGACACATAGGCAGCACCGTGCTGTGGTTGCAGTTGCATGGCCAATCGCTGGTGCCGTTCAGCCTCCCCCCAATTTTGCATGTCCGCATAGATCTCGCCTAAGCGAAAATGTAGCGTCGCTCGCTGGTCCTGTCGTGGCTGGAAGAGGGCCTCCAGGGCTTCTGCCAGCATTGCCCCGGATTCTTGTAGTCTGTTTCTAGAGCGATACAGGGAGCTGAGTTGCAGGTAGCAGGCAAAGCGTGCGTCCTCGTGGGCCACGCGATCTCGCACTCCATGCCCCTCGAGTCGCGCTCCAGACCGGAATACTGAGACGGCTTCCCCGTGCTGACTGTTCTGGGACAGCAAGGATATGCCCAGGTTGAGGAATGCAACGGCCAGCTGTGGGACGCAGTCCGATGGCCCGCCGGTAGCTGGAGACAGCCGAACTGAAGTTGAGCTGCTTCTGATGTACCACGCCCCTGAAATAGATAACAAGAGAGGGAGTTTTACATAGATGCAAATGGATCAAGTTAATTAATTTTCACGAAAATGTTCCAGCAAACAAAGCTAATTTAAGCCATTGCTCCTACTCCAAATTGTTTTCCTTGCCAACAATGCAGCTAAATTTCCGAAGAACTCCACTTTCAGAACACTCTTCACAGTTCTTGGTCTCCCCCTGCTCCCTCGCGAGGCATCATAAGGCAAAATTTGTTAAAAATTCGGAGAAGGCAACGAATAGAAGGAAAGAGGCCAGAAGATGGAAAGTAAAGTTGCTTAACTGGGGGATTGCAGCGACTAATAGTGTTGGGAGTAAATTAACTCTGCCTTTGCTTTTTGCGGCTTCCACTGGCTAATTGCAGCGAGTCCTTTAAGTTCTTGAAAATGCTGAATGTTGACCTTCAAGTAGATTTTCCCGGGCTTCATTTAATTAACAGGACTGCTTCTGAGTGGGTGGCCAGCATCCCCCAGTGGATGTGGATTCCAATGCCCAGAATAGTTTATGCTTGTCAGTGGATGATACGCACCACCAAATACCGAATGTGATACTCGCACATCTCTCCGATGGTTATGCATAGGGCATATTAGGGCATCCCAATATACATATATGTACATATGTACGTATGCACAAAGTTTCGTCTGCCCGTATGCATGGATAAGTGGTTTTAAATAAAGGAAGCATTTTATTTGCAGCAGATCCAAAACAGTGCCAAATAAACCTAAGCACAGATTGCTCCTGCACAGCAGCAGCAATATCTGCATATAGCAGCACCAAAAATAAAATAAAAGTAGAAACCAACAAAGTTGTTCAAACAAACGGCGCGCTCTGAAATTTGTGTTGAGTTGCGACAAGGCTATAAAATCAACAAGAGGGCAGATTGTAAAGACTTTGGATTTTGACAAAAAGCAGCTTACATCATGTGTTGTATGTGCATATACTGTGTATACATATAAACATATCTATGTACATATGTCTGTCTGTACATTGTATGTATATGCATTTGGCTGGGGGCAGGGCCTTTGAGCGGGGATTTGTGCAAAAGCTACACATTCTGTACCACTTTGCTGCAGTATAAATATGAATTGCAGCTTATTAGAAATCCTTGAGAATGTGGTAACTTTAATGAAGAATTACAAGCTGAAACTTTTTACCTGTTTCTATTTGGGAGAGATTTGCATTGCTGTGTATTCAATTTGTTTACTGATAGATTCAGCCTTCATATTGTATAGGTATCGATGCTATGGTCTATGCATAAATAATTAAATATTATATTAATGCTACCTGGCTAATTATTGTCATGTTAGTTTTTCAATTTGACGAAAGCGGAGATCCATACCCCACATTTGATCTAATATTTTGAAATGAACACAGTTGCGTATGAAACCCCCCTCGGAGTCCCCCTCGACTTGCTTTAGGATACCGACGGGCTGGTTTGCCAACTATTCAATAAACACTCGCACATGCCGCAGTAGCCAGAGATGAATTTGTTTAAATTTTATTTTCGACATTCCCTGGGAAAAGTCCCTTGTTGGCCACAATTTCGACTCCCCCCAGCAGCACACACTGGACAGGGGCAGGCAGTCGGGGGAACCCCAGAAAGAGTAACACAACCAAAATGGAGCCAAGTGAATGCATACGAATTGCAGACAGACAACGGAGGGATTTGCTCAACTGAATATTGAGTATTCTATTCTATTCTATTCTATAGTATTCTATTCCATTCCACTCGGATCTGTACATACTCGTATCCATATGTATGTACATATGTATATACATACATATATGTACATTTGTATGTAGGGAAAAGAAAAACAAGCCATGTTGTTCTATTTATTTTCAAGTTTTTTTTTGCTGTGTGCAGGTAGGAAAACACAGCAGCAAAATAAGTGCAAAACTCAAAAATCACAGAAAAGGGGAAAAAGAGTGAAAAAGAGAAATCGAATTATACAGCTCAGTGATTTTTTGGTTTTGGTGTTTGGTTGCCTGTTACTTTGACTTCCGCCCAACCACTGGCACCACCGGCACCACCCTCAGGACCACATCCACAACGCCACCCACCACTCAACTTATCCTTTACTGTGGCATTTTGCAGCTAAAAATCAGAGCAGAGCAGAGCAGCATCAGCAGGAGCACAATAAATCCATGACAGTTGACTGGCGCTCGACTATACGAGGAGCAGAGGCAGAGCCAGAGCCAGAGCCAGACAGGATGGTGGATGCTTCACGTGGCAGAAGGCACGTGTCAGGTACTGAAAATTTGTAGCCGCAGGTATCGGGCGCAAGGTGCGCAGCCGGAGATATCTCGGCTATTGATGGCTTACGAGTAAATAATGTACAAACAGCTGCTTATCCGCGACGCACTCGTCCCCATGCCCACCACCTGCTGGGCGGTTGAAGGGCACCTGACATTGATTTTCGATTAGGAATCGGAAAATGATGCCTGTACCGACAATGGAAACTTCATTGCTTGGAAATCTCTTAAAGCTTTCAAAATGTTAATGTTTCAATCTGCTCTGCCGACTTTCAGATTAGCTGGGGGATGGGAGAAGGCAATGGCAGGGTCTACTGTTGCATTCTGCAAGTGGACAAGGCGAAAATTCAATCAGACAACTTTTCGATAAGCTGCAAAGGCAACACTGCCGAGCGACAGGCGGATAAGAACAGTCAAAAGAGACAGGGATTGAAAGCCAGAGTGGGGGAGAAAAGCGCTTTAAACTTGTACGGCATTAAAAATGAAATGTTTACCTTGGCTTCCCCAAGCCTGGACATCTTTACCATTGTAGTAGATCCACGCAACCCGCGGACCGAACGTCTCGTGTATCGTTTCGAGCCAAGTTAGTAACCTTTAGGCGTAAAGCTCTGGCAGTTATGAAGTTCGCGCTTTGCTTTTAAGTCATTGGCCTTATTTGAAATTGCACCTAAGCCGTCAACAGATATATTTTCGTATTTTCCCTCCTTTTCCTTGTTGCACATTTCTTATTTTTCTGCACATTTGCTGCCGGTGGGGGACTGGACAGAGAATTATACAATATTTTATAATCTCAGGAACTTATTATTCTGAAATTCTGAAATTGAAATTCCAGCACCTTTATTTTTTTATTTATTTTATAAGAAATAATATTTTTTGAGTTGAGTTACATTTAAACAAAAATTATTTAAGCCACTAAATAAAGAATTTTCTGTAGAAATTTGTCCTTCCACATTTTATTGAAAAAATAAATGAAATGTTCTTTAAAAATAATCCAAAACAAACTCGAATTTCAAATAGAATATGAGCATTAATTTAAATGTTTTTCATAAACGGATAATCCTT